GGCTCTGTCTCTGCTATTGCTGAAGTCCATGGGCGATGGTAACCACTTACCATCAGGTAGGCCGTATACTCGTCTGCCAAGGGCAATAAAAAAATAAAGAAATAGATTGTAAAAAAATATTAAGAAGCCAATTAGATTAGCCAATTTAGATATTGAGTTCCACGTTAGTAACAGATTCATAATATAAAAAAGATGTTCGGTCGGTTAGTATAAATTTTCAACGATATCTTTTTTATAGTTCAAGTGATATGAATTACTCAGCTTCTGTGTTGTATAACGCTATAAGTATTATTTTAGGCATGATTCATTCGTATGACGTCATCTGAATTAGAGATTAGAATTAGAGTTGATTTTCTGGAACTAATTCGATTTTTCTTATTAAAGTTATTACGTAAGCAAGGGTCGAATAAAAAGGTTTTTGTAGTTTATTATTATTAGTGTTTGGTTTTGTGTGTTTCGTCTCTTTTGATGTCTTGTTTTTTTTATCTTTTAATGAATGAAAATTCTTTCAGCGCTTATAAGGACGAACTTCTGTAGATTGATATTTAGAATTTAATAAATGATGTCGTTGTCTTTGATTGTAAATAAAAAAATCTGATATTCGTACGATTTTTTAAAATATGATTATCTAAAGTAAATTCCCAAAATAAATGTGGTAAAATCATTGTCGTAGTCCGTAAAGTGGTCGAAAATAGTTTTAAAAACAAATCTACATATGTACATTAGTTTTTAAATTTGTTACTAGAACATTATCAAAGCGGTTTCGTCACGGCGTTCGTTTTGAAACATTAAAACCACTTTAGTAACTGGCAATCTTTTCATAATTTCTCGACTGACAATGATAACAATTAAAAATATATATATATATATTTATCTTTGTTAACGAAAATCTTCTTCAATGAAGTCCTAAAAATACTGCCTTCGTATTTGTCATTATATTTGCCAACGAAAATGTTCTTAAAGTCCTGAAGAGATTGCCTTCGTTTTGTTATGAAACCATTCATGATTTATATGAAATTGTACAGTTGAAATCACGTCTATAAAACACGTATTTCAACCAATTAATCTCCTTTCCTATTATGAATTAAAATAATGTCGCCGTGAGTAAGAATTCTGAAAATAAGCTTTTCATATTCTCAAACAATAGCTCAAACAAAAAGGAATACGTTAGTTTATAATAACAAAGGCAGATGACACATATTCGCGTGCATCATTAACAGCAAACATTTTCTTTTCAGAATTTTCCCCGAATACATTTTATGACACTAAACGTGTTCTAAGATTTGTTGTTTATTCAGCCGACTACTTGCATTGTGTTTAGCACCTCGCCTTTCAATAGATGTATACGTGCTTGTAATTATTATATATAGTAAAAACAAGTATGTACCTTCATACAAGTATACCTACACTTATTATATACCTTCATACAATTATACACTTATGTACAAGTATGTACTTCAGTGGTTCATTTTTGAATTATTATTTATATTGATTTATTAAACTCGACCACACAAAGTCGTGACGTATATAGGTGTGACGTGGGTCTCGAAAAGGCGTTTTCAGAGAAAACGATATATATACTTAGATTCTGATTCACAATTCAGATGAGGGCTTACCACTTTCTTATCCGTTTGTAGTAGAAATATCTTCACATATCTTTCTATTTTAGTCCATAATTACAAAGCTCCAAGGTCGATTTTAATTTTGCATTTAGTCGCGCCGTGCTTTTTGCGGTATCTCAGATCAAATGGAAACCACATTTTAAATGGGAATTAAATTGTGATTAAGCGTTGAGACCTTTACAATTCCTATTGTTATATAAACAGTGAAATCTATTCGTTTTAAATCTGGCAACTGTAATTAAAGATTAGCAATTTTCAACTTAAAGTCCGTGAATTAAGACTCCGTTTACACAAGCATCGAATGCGAATTAGCGAAAGTACGGGGAAATAATATTCATATATCTGGTATAAACAAACATTACTAATTTCGCCAAAACGATACGACGTGTTTGTGTGTCTTAATCTTCTGGTCGATTATCGCCCCTTCAGTGGAGGAGAGTGTATGAGCTTCAGACGAGACTTTCAAGACGCGCTCATGTCATCGAACCGTTTTAAGACAGTGTGATACAAAAACTAAACAATGTATTTCGAAATTAAACAAAGCAGATGTTAATTGACCTACTTAAGATTTTTTTTCCAACCTAAGCTGAGAGCCTTTAGAGGCTATATCAGCGTAACCTTAACTAGTAGGTGAGCTCACGGGGCTCAAACCTGACGACGTTGCTAACACGAACCCTAGCAAGAGCCGTGCTTCGCAGAATCTACCACCGGATCGGAAACGCGACCCACTGAGAAGATCCGGCGAGAAACTCAGTGGGCTCTACTTGAGAATTCATCACATACCAGAGCTAAACAGCTGTAGTTTTAAACTAACCAACTGTTCTTCGACTTGACGAAATAAACTCCTCAAGTAGGCGTAACCGGTAACGTTGTTAAACTAGTCCGAGAATAATATTGAAATCTGGGTCGTCTGTTCTGAAACGAGCTATAGCAGGTAAGTAGGAAATCCTTATTGTGTATTTGAGGACGGGATTGGACGAATGCTATTTTTATGTAATTATTCACTGATGTCACTTGAGCTGTTTGGTAAATTGATCTAGGCAGATCACGAATTTTCATATATTTTTTAATATATTTTTTATATGTCTTAGATGTGGAGGGTGGACGAGCTCTCAGCCCACCTGATATTAAGTGGTTACTAGAGCCCATAGACATCTACAACGTAAATGCGCCACCCACCTTGAGATATAAGTTCTAAGGTCTCAGTACAGTTACAACGGCTGCCAAACCCTTCAAACCGAAACGCATTACTACTTCACGGCAGAAATATTTGATATAATACCGTCAATATATTATAGAGTATAGAATTCTAGCCGTTAGCTCATTTGCTATGCTAAAAACGGGCGAACACAGAGTTCATTTAACTCAAATACAAAATGTAAATTATAATTTATTGTTTGGAGTAAGTACTTGAATAAAAATTGCGTATCTCGAACCCAAATAAATGCATTCTGAACTAAAATATAGAGAGTACGTGCGTATTAAGGGCCATGAAGTATATTCAATTGGATCATCTGAGAACCCTCAACTGGTTAATAAGGAAAATCAAATGACGTTGAAAAAGAAGCATGCAATTGCTTATGTTTTATGGTTTGTTAACTTTACAATCAACTTCAAACATTTGTCAAAACATTGTTCAAATATTGGCCACAAGCAGACCCGCAACATTGGTCAAACATTGGCTACACGCTGACCAGCTTATGGCAATAAAAACATTTCGCATCAAACCATTCTTCATCATCTTCGATGTTATGGAAGTGAATGGCCTCGCGTCGATCTTTAAACACTCGTGACGTGAATCCGTCCAATCGTTATAAAGACTTATAACTATCTATTGACATTACTTTCTATAATAAAACCTTTCTGAACTGACCGGCACGAATTACAGCTTAAGCATCAGCGAACAATAAACAATCTTACGAGTTTCACATTATTTAAAATGGAAACTGATCTATAGCTTGAATCTTTAGTTTTAAAATGAATTACGAAAGAGGATATTTTTAAAATAGAAAAAAATTAAAATCACATATTTATTAATGAAGTTAACATGGAATTTTTTATATTGCCTGAAATTGGGTTCGCACTCTATACTACTCTTTAGTGAGTTAGAACTTCGCATTAAATGATTCAATACTCTCAAAGGTTTATATAATAATAATAATATTAATAATGGCAATAGCGATACGATTGTATTGAAATGAGGTTGAATGACCAAAGAGTAAGATGCACCTATAAAATATTTTAACAAAACGTTAATAGCAGAGATCTCGAAAATTACTATAGGAAGCAAATCAAGTGAAAGACATTGAGGTTATTTCCGAATCCAATTCAATGTTCTTTTAAACGAATCCAAATTGTAATTGGATAGTTCGTATCAATAGCAGCCCAGGGAAATTTGATTGATTGAAAAATAAAATCGCGTGATTTACGACCTAAACGGGTGCTTGGTACTTATCGGTCTATCAATAAAATTGTCTTTGCATTGTTCGCCCAATGTCTAGGCCGGCGTCGGGTTTCCTGTAAATCGCAACACTTCGAAAGAGGACGTCCGTTTCCTTCGAACACCATTATTCATTTGACAAGAAATTTATCGATTGAAATCGTTCGTGACAATTGGCGGTCGCAAGGAACTTTGGCAACGGAAGGACCTTTCGTGGAACACCTCTGGATGTGAAGAAGAAAGTTCTTAGAAACACATATTATGTCGACTATTGTCCTTGTAAACGTGTCGTATTGATTTGCAAATTTATTCTTTGTTATTTCTCTATCTGAACAATTGCGTTCATATGCATCACATTAATCTAGTCAATTACACATATTACAGATAGGTCAATTGTTTACTACACAGCCAGCGTTAATAATTACATAATTCAAATAAATAATTAATATTTTATTTCTAAAGCGATCTGTGTATTTCTATTCATTTCAAAGTATCAAGATGGTTACGTTAGTGTTGGACTGTCATTGAAGATTGAATAAAATCTGACCGAGACCTTGAAATGAGGGATTAAGCCTCACAGACGCCGCTAAGGCATTTAATCTTGACCTTTCTAGCTATTATTAACAAATTCCTAACTATAGTCGTCCTATTTAACCTAGTACAATTATAAACGTTATCGTACATATCGTTGTGAGGACACTTTACGTGTGGAACGCCTTTAATTTGAATTTGTAATGAGTTGTGTCATGTCTTCGTTTAAATACAAGTGTGGATAGCGGAAAATGTGAATGTTTATTTCTTTTATCATTCGACAATAGCGTGTGGAAATATAGCATTTACGTTGCACTAGTTACCGTTTTGAGAATTTCTATATTCAAATTCAATTGGATCTGAAATCAATACCTAAACAAAAAGCACGAATAGTCGTTAAAACTTACTTAAGAAGAAGATTGAGGGCACTATCGTTTCTAGTCGTCGGGACGTCCTTGACGCTGGAGGGTTCACTGCGAACGCCACGGAGAGAGAGCCGCAGCTGTCGGGGGATGGAACTGAGGAGGCCGCTGCTATTCCTCCGCTGGTTGAGGCTCTTGGAGCGCGTCAACTTGTTCGCCTCTAAGTCCACGACTCGGGGGTGCGTAGACACCTCCTCCCCGATTCTTGAAATCGTTGCACTCGACGCATTAGTTTTAATTATAGTAGGAACGGCAGTATTAACATCATCCAACAGTTTCTCCCAAGGTGACGTCACGTCCTCCTCCGAAATCGTCTCGAAACTTCGGGGACCGACCGACGATGAGGTCTTGTCAGACATCTTGAAAACACTAAGCATTGAAAGGATAAAGGAACGCAGCACTACAGACACCTACAGGGCACTTCGTCACTTTGGATTTTTAGTTTCTTGACAACACTTCACTCTTATCATAATATCCATTTGTAAATCATAATGTTTGGGGTAGAAATGTTGACACTGAAACAAAATAGAAATTGAAATTAGGACTCAGAACCGAGAAGAAGTCTTACTGGTGGTAGGACCTCTTGAGAGTCCGCGCTGGTAGGTACCACCACCCAGCTTATTTCTGCCGTGAAGCAGTAATGCGCTTCGGTTTGAAGAGTGGGGCAGCCGTTGTAACTATACCTGAGACCTTAAAACTTATGTCTCAAGGTGGGTGGCGCATTTACGTTGTAGATGTCTATGGGCTCCAGTAACCACTTAACACCAGGTGGGCTGTAAGCTCGTCCACCCATGTAAGCAACAAAAAAAAAGTATGCCAGAAACATTATGATGGAAAATAAAATATTCGTTGTTTTTAACGAAAGTATTTTTTTTTTTCGGTAATCAATATAAGTCAATATGAATAGTGAAACAACACTTGTACTTTTGCTGAAACTCCATCTAGTATGGACAGTTGAAAGGAATCTCAAAACATACGTAGTAATCATCATACATTTTGAAAGTACTAAGACAAAAGAAACTTTCATGTTACGTTTAGAATTTGCAATATTATTTGAGGAGAAAGGTGTATGAATGTTAATGAGACGCTAAATAGCTGCTAAAAAAACATACTATTCTTAATAACTAGGTACATATTTTTTAGGCCCGCCGGCTGCCAATTACTGCGTCATTACTAAGAAAATAAAATGACTGGTTATTTATTTTGTGCAAGTTTCACTTGTTTAACTAGCCAATACTGTGATAGTGGCGCAACAAGGTAGGTTTAGGCACCTTTGTATATTAAAATTAGAAATAACAAAACATAAGATTTCGTTCTTCGAACTCGTATGCTTAAAACGTATTGAATTAGCTTTCCCACTGAGTTTCTCGCCGGATCTTCTCAGTGGGTTGCTAGGGTCAGTGTTAGCAACACTCCGGTTGGAGCCCCGTGAGCTCACCTACTAGTTAAGGTTACGCTAAAATAGCCTCTCAAGGCTACCTTAGCTTAGGTAGGAAAAAAAAACAATTAATACCACATTGGCCGTGAGTTCATTCACCTATCGATGCAATAAAAAATAGAGTTTGAGCCCCGTGATGATCACCTACTAGTACGATGACGCTGACATGGTCTCTCTAGACTATCAGATTAGGTACGAAAAAAAAAGTTAGCTTTTACTAAACTATATATGTGTGTATGGATGTTGATAGCGGTTTTGATCTACATAGTTTGTATGAAAGTGAAATTTAATGAAGTCGCGAATCTTTGTTTTCGTAGTAGTGAAAGCGGGCGGCAACACAATTTCAAACTTACGCTATTGAAAGTCTCGTTTATCTATATCTATATATATAAAAATGAATTGCTGTTCGTTAGTCTCGCTAAAACTCGAGAACGGCTGGACCGATTTGGCTAATTTTGGTCTTGAATTATTTGTGGAAGTCCAGAGAAGGTTTAAAAGGTAGCTAAATATGAAAATACTCGGAATTAAATAAAAATAACAATTTTGTTTTTCCTTTGATGTGTCCCCCGTCGGACGGATTCCTTTTGTTTGTTTTAAGTTTATTTTATACAAAAGTCTAGGTCTTTTATTTATCGATTGAGGCACTACGAAGTCGGCCGGGTCAGCTAGTAATTAATACAACTGAATGCTTGGTTTTAAATAACCTTTAAAAATACTTTACGATTTTATTATATTTTCTTAGGTTTTCGCGAGGCGTAGATATAATTTAAATTACTTTTAAGGTTAAATCTCGCATTTTATTATATTTTACAGTCTTCCGTAACCAAGTATTGGAAACATCAGTAATAATGTAATGATCGTAAAACAACGCCAGACAGAAACGTATTTTTATAGTAATTTTTATTTTTACTATTATTCATACACATAATGTAATGTAAAGCACATATTATAAAGCATGTAATATAAAAAAGCAATATAATATTGATTAACGATTACATTAAATCAAAACACAATAAAAACCATGGTCGGTTGCTATGGTGGAGAGGGTGTTAGGTGGTAAACCCGTAAAGAGGTGGTAAACCCGTGCGGGTAGGTAGCGTTCGTTTTTAATACGCCACTTAGTTTCTTTAAAACCAAAAATAGTCCAAATTATCTACATTTGAATAGAGTTTTATTATTGTGACGACCTTACCTTGTTAAGTGGCAAGCAAAAGGTACTAGCGATATGCATTTCTTCACAAATCCTATTACGAATAACTTTTTAGACGTGATCTAGGGCTAAGTTTTCGCCAATCTCCCTCTATCCTATCTACTTCTGCCGATAATAACCATGCACTCCGATTTGAAGCGTGCGACATCCCTTATAGAATGGAACTGAGATTTTGACCCGACTTCTCACAATGGATCCTTTAGACGCTATGGTAATAGCTACCTTAGCCCATAGATGGGCTAAGGTAGCTATTTTAGACCAAGTAGACCGTGAACTCTTTCGACCATGTATATAATACAAAAGTAATAAAAAATTACGTTTATATAACGAAAAGTGACGTCTTCCTGACAGACTAGAAAATACAAACAGACAAAGCAGACAAAGCGATTTCGTAAACTGAATAAACACCGCTCAATCAAAGTAAATGAATTGTTACGTAAAACCTAGCTCCATTCGTAGTAGTATGTACTTTGCAATCGAACAGTCTGATAATTTTGAACAAACTAACCGATTTATAGAGAGGAATTCCAAACACATCTACGCCGTTGTTATGAATAGTTGTGGCACGAATAGTTTTAGCTAAAAACAAAACCTCATTCGACTGTGCAAGTTTGGCGTACCATACATATTTTAGTGCGCGATCACAGAAATGGTACTTACTGGTGGTAGGACCTCTTGTGAGTCCGCGCGGGTGGGTACCACCGCCCTGCCTATTTCTGCCGTAAAGCAATGATGCGTTTCGGTTTGAAGGGTGAGGCAGCCGTTGTAACTATACTTGAGACCTTAGAACTTATATCTCAAGGTGGATGGCGCATTTGCGTTGTGAATATCTATGGGCTCCAGTAACCACTTAACACCAGGTGGGCTGTGAGCTCGTCCACCCATCTAAGCAATAAAAAAAAATAAAAAAAATAAAAATTTAAAGCACTGAGCGCAATACAAACAGCGTTAAGACCGGAAAATGGTTCGAAATTAGTGAAACACTATACTTATAGGTCGCTAACAGAGAAGATCGTCGTTCGAAGAGTTTTATTTATAACAGAACGTCTGCCAAATGTCCCGCATTCTGCGAATATGGGTCAATGCTCCAGTGCGCTACTGAAGTGGAATGGATCATGGACAAAACTCTCATGTACCCTCAGACTGTAACCCGCAAACATTTGTATTTTCGTCCCTTAGCACGCGAAAAGTCACAAAAAAACCTCGAGAAGAAGACATTTTCAAGGCTAACGTGTTCACTTCAAATACGACATTACATTGAGACGGTTTCAAGAAATTAACAACACATAATTCGTTTTTTGCATATAAAACTAAGGAGTTTGCCATAAAATAATAAATACCTTGATTACAAAAAAGGCAATAAATAATGAGTTAGCTTATTTTAAAACGCATTGCAATTAGAATTATAATACATTTATATGTGCCGAATGTCTATAGTAGAATTTTTTTTTATAATAATGACTTCAATATATACATACATCAGTTCAATTGTAGCTTTATGGAATATGCAAATATTTTTTAATTAATTAAGGATGCAATATTACGCATTTATAAGCAGAAACTAGTAGCAGCTTTACAAGAAAAATATCTTTGTGGGAAACAAAGACAATGGCTGCCAAGTATTTAATGACATCTCAGAATCTCCGCATTAATTTGTTTTGTATTATAATGAGCAATTTATTAAAAAAAATATTGTACTAAATGATTAGTTTACATTAGAATAGCTGTCACTGATTTGCTGATGATTTAATCATAACTGGCAATTTACATTACTAAGATTGACGTAAGCTTTGTTAATTTTTCAGCAAATCCTGTAGCTTTTCCATTGTACTAGAGGTCCCGCAGTAGTCGAAATTCGACTATAATTAATTGGAATTGTAAGTTTGCACACTATTATGATTGTATTTTATACTTCTATAATCACAAATTTCGCCAAGACTACACTATAGAAAAATATTAATAAAGACAAACAATATTTAATCTATTCTCAATTTGACAACAGACGTCAAGAACAAAAGTTTGACAATAAATAGTATGCATGCGTGTGTGCGTCAAATACATGGTATGTACTGTGTGTAACGTTTTCTTTATTGATTTAATATATCTTTTATGTATTATTTAAAAAAAATATTAGCATTGTGCACTTCTCCTCTATATTCTCTATAAGTGTGGAAAATTTCATACTCCTCCGTCCGCGGAATTTTCGTAAAAAGGGATACAAAGTTTTTGCTTCACGTATTAATATTATATATCCATTGTATAGAATGTTACTGAGTATTTAATGTCAACAATCACTTTGATTCCTATCAATCCGTTGCGCGTTGCTTGAATACTGTTTTGTTATTAGTGTATTTCTAAATTTTCGGTTTATATTTAAAATGCTACTTCAATGCATCAACCGGTCCCTCAGTCTCAAATTTTGAATCAATTTGAGATTGAATCTGATCAGCAAATTCGGAAATAGCGGGATCTTGTATGGTGTGGATTAATAGTCAGTAGCTTTAGGAGACAAACAGTATATAAGGAAAAATACGAATCCAAAATTAATTAATTAGTCCGTATAACGTCAGATCCTGTTCAAAGCAATAGGTACGAAATTGTTTGCAAGATACAATCATATTTAGAAGCGGTCAATCGTCAATTCAATCGCCCATGAACCTTGGGTCCTGTTTGTATGGGTTTGGGTGGCCAACGCCGAAATACTAAGCAAATCAAATAATCATTAAATAAATCATCATTATTTTTGGAAGAGCTTGTCCATCTAAATCAGTTTTAGACTACAGCGTCTTAATTTGCAAAACTTTCAATTTGCCCCCCAAACCCAGACAAGCGCATTCATTAGCTGAATTGTTTCAACGTTTTAAATT